GTATAGAGTGATGGTGAAGCAAATGTCATAACCATTATGCATGAAAAACATAATTTCCCTTTTCATAGGGCTTAAGTACTTGTTTTGCATACCCGATTAGTTTCTAACATCACTACTTAGAATGGCTTTTTCGAGCTCTCTTTCACTGTAGGGAGAAGTATGGGTCAGTGCCATAAGGTAGGATCTGCAGTATAGTTGATAGTCAAGAAGGTTATTAGGGTATATTTACAAAACCAAGAATTGACATGTGTGTTGAATTTTAGTGGGAATAATAAGTATCATACTTTTAATTAAAATAGTATTTGTGCAAGACTGGCTCACCCCATTATGTTTTGAATACGTAAATTTTCCTTTAGGGGAATTCCATATTTGCCAGATTTTTTTTCTTTCCTTTTCTCTTTTTTTTTTTTTACATTCATTACAAAACATGTCCTGTTTTTCCTCCCACTTAACCCCAAGTGAAATTTTGATATGAACATGTTAAGTGGCAGTTCTAGACAAGCTTCATAAAATCTCATAGCTCAACTTAGAGATGCATTAGTAGAACCACATACTTGCTATCATTATGATGATTATTTTAATATTTTTTATTTATATAAACATATTCATTGTAAAGAAAAATGTACCATATTCGTTTTATATTTTTAGTGGCTCTCCAAGTTCTATAAATAAGCCCTTAAGGTTTTTATTTCTTTGGCTGCTGGAAATCCTAGATGTAAAATTGTTTAGTATTTTCATATAATGTGCTCTGTGTATAAATTTATGTCATAAATAAAAAAAAAATATTGTTTATTTCTTGTCAGCTGGTATATCGTTTCAGGTGTACCTTGAAAACTGGTTACTATTTTTTTTTTTCTGAGATCAGGTCTTTCATTTCAAAATGTGTGTTTTGGATGCACCATGTATAGATAATATCAACAGCTGTGATTTGGAGATGTAAATACTGATAGATATTATTTACATGAGTCCTTTCCTATGAAGTTTCATTCAGGTGTCTTCACTCGGAACTGTTGATTTTGTCAGACAGATTTATTTCCATTTTCAGTTTATTATTGCCTCAAGTATTATTTTCCTAATGGCTGGAGAACCAAGTACCACCCATGCTTTAGAGTAACTGTACTTATTTTATTACCTATTCTTTAGGCAAGATTTGTAAATGTCCTCCCAACTAACTGAAGGTTTCTCAGGATGGTACCAGGTACTGCACCTTACACTATATAAAAGGTAGAATAATTTGTAATTCTACCCAGATTCGTGTATCTGATGTGTGCGCAGTCATGCGTTTAGTTATATGGAAATATATAGTATAGAGATACAAGTGAATTTCTTAAACCTAATCTCCGCATTAGCAGAGAAGGATTTGCAAGGAAATATATTCTGCTCCTTATTAGCTGTCATTATTGATTTGTTCAACTGATTTGTGTCAGAACTTATCTCTCTGAAAAATGAGGGTTCCATTAGGTACTTTTTTTTATATAATTCATGGAAATTTCAAGGTGTATATGTATGTAATTAATTTGTGAAAGTAAATACTACTGTATTTATTTATTTTTCTTTGGTCTAAACAAACTCTAAGACTAATATATTACTGTGATAGTTTCATCTTTGCCATTCCTTTAATTTGAACTGTCTTGTAAGGATAGGTATGTCGTGCTCTTCTAAATTATAATCTATTTTCAATAAAACTTCACGAAAAACTATTTGAGCATATTATCAATGACACCTGCTATAGTAAGGTCTGTTTACCGTTTTTGAGCTTGAAGTATGTAATGCACTTGAAGAATTACCTACTCAAAGTTTTCAAAGCAAAGTTGTTTTCAGATGCCAGGAATTCCAGTGAAGCTTTAGGTATACAACGGCTAATAAATAAAACCAAAAAACTAGCAATTCCAGGAAAAGAACACTACTAAACATTGCTGATTTTATGAGAATTTATTTTCAGATAACCTACGAGATATGGAAATTTGAACAAGCATTTTGAGGTTTTCTTGAAAGGTACTAAACATCAATAGACATTTTAATTGACAATACTTAGCGGATTTGTTTGCATCTTCCATATGGAAGTAGTACTTATAAAACAAGAGGGAAAGGATGTTAACTGTTCACTTTAAATGCTGTCATTGTGCAATTTGTGTTGAAAAGCCTTTGAATGAAGAAGTATCGGTTACAGTTCATTTAAGGGCTTTCATTAAATGACTGCCCCCCCCCCTGCTCAGGATATCCTAAAAGAGGTACACAATTAAAATTCTTATTAATATTTAGGGACCTTATTTGCGTGATTATACGTACAAAATCTAATAAGCTGTTTCTCCCCTACGTGCCCCATGAACAGCTTAATTAGAACCATAGAAGCAACTAATATCCTCCAAAACAGCACAAGAAAAACGGCATTGCATGGGCTCCTGTAGCTTCAACCAAATTCGGTCCCATTCGTCGTTTTCGTAAAAGCCGATGTCGTTATCTCGAAGTTGCGACGGCCTTCCTGTAGGGCGCTAAGAAA